ACTCAATGTGTCTCTCTCACATCGATGTTTCTCTTTCTCTTCCTCCCTCTCTCCTTCCTGCTCTATCTGAAGATAAATGCAAAAAGAAAAAGAAAAAATCAAGTTCTCCTTTTTAATAAAAACAAAAACAGCCCTGGTCAGTTTGGCTCAGCAGTTAGAGCGTCGGCCTGCGGTCCAGAGAGACCCGGGTTCGATTCCCACTAAGGGCACGTACCTCGGTTGCAGTTTGTCCCTGGCCCTGGTTGGGTCGTGCGGGTGGCAGCCACTTGATGTGTCCCTTTCACGTCGATGTTTCTCTATTCCTCTCTCTCTCTCTCTCCCACTCTATCTTAACAAAAAATGAAAAAATGTCCTTGGGTGAGGATAAAAAAAAACCCAAAAAATAAAAACAAAATGCATTTATGCTGATGCGCCCCTGTCTCCGCACCCCTGTGCCAGGGTCACGCCACACATACACCTCCTGCACCGAGTCTTAGTCTAACGACTCCCAGGCAGGCCTGCGGAGGGCTCCCCGGTGCTGGTGCTGTATGGGCGGGGAGGTTATTTTAAAGTATAACCAGTCAACAGGGCTGCCTTTCGGGGTTCTCTTATGTCACAGTCTGAGATGGGAAGAGAGATGGGTAAGAAGAGATGGCTCACACTGTATGAAGATCACTGCTCTTTAAGAGAAAAAATTAGAACTAGATCACCTTTGGCAACCTGGAATGAACCCATTGATTCAGGCAACAATGATCTAACTGTTCAGCGAGCAGGGACAGGAACTGGACTGTGACAGCCCTCAGGTCCCCATGCAGGTCACTTCCCAGTGACACCAGGAAACACAAGCTCACAGGGGAGGAGCAGCCGTCGCCCCTGAACCCACTGACCAGAGGAGTAACCAGAGGGCTCTGTGCTCCCCGATGGGGATGGGGACGAGGGCCCAGCACCACCTGGGGGCTTTCTCCCTGACAGTGACCAGCTGGAATCCGTTCAGGCCTTTGCCACTAACGTCCAGGGGACAGCACATGGGGTTGGGAGTGAGTTAAATAGCGTGAGGGCAGCAGAGGAGACACAGAGTGCAGGACGTTTCACAAAACCACCGCCCTGATTTCACCAGGGTGCTGAGGTGATACAAAAAAAAGTCAGGGCGGGGACCGGGATTCAAGGGCCAGGTGCATGGATCCTTGTTGGGCCGACACGAGCAGACCGACTGGCCCACTGGGGACTCTGGATGTGACTCGGGGTTGGGTGACTTGGAGAGGTGCTGTGATAATGGTCACACAATTGCACAAGGAGCAGGCCCGTTTTTTCCAGCGACGCATTCTGAAACAGTGTCACGGTCTGACCCACGCCAGGATTTCCCTTCACAATATTTCAGTTTAAAACTAAACTAAGTGGCCCTGGCCGGTTTGGCTCAGCGGTTAGAGCGTTGGCCCGCGGACCAATGAGTCATGGGTTCAATTCCAATCAAGGGCACGTACCTCGGTTGTGGTTTGTCCCCGGCCCTGGTCGGGTCGTGGGGGAGGCAACCGGTCGATGTCTCTCCCCTCCACCCCCTTCCACTCTATCTGAAGATACACAAATATCCTCGGGTGAGGATTTAAAAAAATAATAATAATCATAAAATAAACTAAGTAAATTAGGGAAATAATAATTACCAAGTCTAGGTGGTGGGTAATGAGAGGTCACTGTACCTCTCCTTTTATTTATGTTGGAACGTCTTCAGAATACAAGTGTTAAACAACTTAATTACAGAAATTGCACGTAGATGAGGAATACATTTCCACAGCAAAGCATTCACACAGAAATGATAGAAGTACCCTTTGTCCCCAGCCCCAAGCTGTCCCTCCCCGGAAGGAACTGCTGTTACCGTTTGGGTATATTTCTTTTTTAAATTTCTTAACCCCTCCTGCAGGGATCCTGGCTCTGGACAGCATCCGAGACAACAAACTGAGCGGCTTCTTCCCCCACCCCGACTTCAGCCCATGTGGCTTTGCCAGTCATGATCCCCCCAAGCTTGCTTCCGCATCCTACTCGGGCCCCTCTCCCCAGGCCCCCTGGGGGTGTCACTGTGTCCCACCACTGTATTTATAACAAATAGCCGGGAACGGACCGAACGCCAGGGCCCGTTGGGGCCGGCAGTGGCGGGGAGCAGCTGGGGGCCTGCTGTGCACGGACGATGTTACTCGATTTCGACAGCCTCCGACGTCACTTTCACCCACCTCCCCTGAGAACGCCCGAGCTCTTCCTGTCTCACTCTGAGTGCTGTTAAGAGAAGGCAGCGGTGTTTCGGGGATGGGTGGGCAGGCTGGCGTGGCCGGGCCACAGGAAGTGACACTCTGTCCCTGGTAGACAGCTTCGGGCCAGGGAGGTGAGGTTATCACATAGATGTTTTATCACCTCTCCTTCCCGGGGGGTGGAAGGTGGGCAGGGGGTTGGGGCTCATGCTGAGGAAGGGCCAGGCTTTGCCCTCGCCAGAGGAGGGGTCCGAGTCCTCCACCAGCGCCCAGCAGGGCCTAGGAAGCAGGGAGGAGTCCGGGTTGGACCAGAGCCTGCAGCCACGTGCTGGGCCATCCATCCCTTGGCCCCTGGGGGGTTCCTCCAGGACTCATGGAGGCCGGTAGTCCCGACCCAAGGGCCATCTACTGGCAGCTGCCTCTCCCTGGTGGTGGCACCTGGGAGAGCAGCTACAAGTGGAGCTTGGAGGAAGGGCGGAGGGGGGTCCTGTGGGCCTGGAACAGTGTGGGAGCCCCTGAGACTAGGGTGGAGGGACTGGAGAGGAGGAGGAGGAGGCAGAGGAGAAATGAAAGAAAAGAGAGAAGGCAGGAGGGTGAGGGGCAGGACCTTCAGCTCTGGAAAAGACCCGGTGGTATTTAGGCTTCCTTTCCCATCCCCTGCCACTCGGGATCTGAGCCCCAGGGATGAATCTGCCGTTCGCCAAGCCGCTCTCTAGACTCAAGCGCCTGGCCCCAGTTTCAGGGGTCTCTTCCCCTGAGCAGGTGAGGGCAGCTCCCTTCCTGGCTGGACCCCCGAGGTCAGCTGCACGCATTTCACACCTCACACCGCTACTGACCTGCCTGTGCCCAGCTGAGAGGGTTCCGGCCAACAGAGGCCGAGGGGGCTGGGCAGTGCCCTCCTGCACCTGCCCCAGCTGTGGGCTGCAGGATGCGGTCAGGAGAGGAAGCAGGGCCTTGGCTCCAACTCATTCTGGGGTTTCCAAAGAGCTCCTTGCAGAGGGCATTACCGGGGCACTGTGGGCCTCGGAGCCCACAAAGCAAGGGGGCAGGAGGGGCGAGCTGAGCCTGGCCGGCTGCTGGGCCCAGGGCTAAGGACAGAGTCATCAGGGCCAGACACCGTGTGTGCGGGGCGACGGGCAGCTTCTGGCCCCCATGCAGCTCTCAGAAGCCCAGCTATGGAGATCCTGCCCGGTGCCCCCCGCCCCCATAGGAAGGACTCCGTTTTCTCCAAGGGCCCCTGCCACATCCCAGGAAAACCGTCCCTGGACCCACCATGAAGATCCTACCTCGAGCACCTTCTTCAACACAACCCTCCAGCCAGACACCTGGGAATCCCCACCTCCTCCCTCGTCTGCGCGGGTCAGTCAACCAGAGTGAGACGCTCTGCCCCCTAAATAGCTCTTGACTCACCTCCACTTCACACCCCCGTGCCAACCACCCCAAGTCAGGCCTGCCTGGGTGCCTGCCCAGCCTTGCTTTCCTCATGCGCGTGATGGCCACTTCTATGTGCAGCTTGACATGTACCCAGAGAGGCGGCTAAACATTATTCTAGATGTTTATGTGAAGGCAGTTATAAATCTATCTATCTATCTATCTATCTATCTATTTTTTTTAAGATAAAATTAACATTTAAATGAACAGTAAAGCAGATTACCCTCCAAAATGTGTGTGGGCCTCACTCAATCAGTCGAAGGCTTTACTAGAAAGAAGACTGACCCTGCAGGAGGGAGGCTCCCGCGAGCTGCCTGCCTTCGGACCCCGCAGCACCTCTCCCGGTCCAGCCTGCCAGCCCACCCTGCAGAATCTGGCGTGTCAGCCTCCCCAAACATATCCACAAGTCTCTTCCACCACGGCCCACAAATGTGACATCCTCGGCTAGCAGCCAGCTAGCTCGTCTAGTGTCCGTACCCTTAGAGAAAACCCGCCCGGAGGTACAGGGCCAGGACTCTGGGCCTGGTGGGCGGGGATGGGCGAGCCTGTCCTCTCGGGACAGAGCACACTCCGGACAGTGCACACTTGGGACAGCCACACGGAGCAGTCCTGCCCCCGCGGGCCTGCCCGCCAGCCGGCTCCCCTTCGACCCTCCGTCCCTGCGCCTCCTCCACGCCCGACGCCCTGCAGGTCTCACAACCCCGCTGCCCCTTCGCTTAAGCGTCTGTCCGTCCTGCGCTGTCTGGCTTCCTCCCCAAACCTCCCCGGCTGCCCTGGGTCCCCCGCGGGCGCGGGGCGCGGCCCCTCTGCGCCCGGGTGCTGGCCCGGCCTTCCTGCTGGAACACCGCTCGGGGGCCGGGGACGAGCCCGAGGTCGCTCCCTGCGCACCGAGAGCGGGAGGCCGGGGGAGGCGTGAACGACGGGCGGCGGGCACGTGGCTCGCAGTGCGCAGCAGAGGCGGGGGCCGGGCGGGGAGGCGCTGCCGGCGCGCGGGGCGCGCGGGGGCGGAGGGGCGCGGCGCCCCCGCCGCTCGGTGCCCTCTCCCGCCCCGGGGTCTCGGGAACGGAGCCGCCCGCCAGGCCGGGCTGGAGCGCGCGGACGAGGGCGGCGCGCGGACGCAGAAGAGCCTCCTCCCGCCCGGGCCGCGGGAACCGGCCGCCGCGGGGGGGTTCCGCACGCGGGAGCCCGAAATCGGGCCGCAGGGGGCGACCTCGCCCCGGGAGCCAGGGCCCCCGCGGGCGGCCCGGCCCCGCGGGCCCCCTTCCGCCGCGCAGCCGGCGCCGCCCGCGTCCGGGGCGGGGACCCCGAGCCGCGCCGTGCGCCTCCCCCCCTCCGCGCCTTGGTACGCCCCGGGGGACAGATGTCTCGGGATCTTTAACATTTGGGATGCTGCAAATGCCGAAGTTAAAGGGAATACCTCCGGGGAGGGCGGGCCGGGGGGAGGGCCGGCGGCCTGGACACGCGGGTCGTGCGGCTGCGGGTCCTGACCGGGGCGCGCGGGCGCGGGCGCGGGCTCGCGGCGCCGCAGCTCCGGGGGACAGGTAAGGGGGAACCGGGGGCCGCGGCCGGGCACACGGGGGGTCGGCCCCTGCACCCGCCGCCCTCGGCCTCCGCGGAGGGGGCCTCCCCGGGATGGGGAATGCGCCCAGGGGGCGGGAATCCCGAGTTCCCACCCCAAATGCCTGTTCCCAGCGCCGCCACCTTTCTCCGTGGACCCTCCGCGCTCTGGATCCCCGGCCAGGTTCCGGGAAGCCCGAAAGCAGCCAGACAAAAGGAGCAAAGTCCCCGCCGCCGGGATTCGGAGGGCGCGGTGGGGGAGGGGAGAGGGTGGACCGGACAAAGGGGCTTTTAAGAAAAGCCAGGGGTCTGGTTTCAGGGCGCGTTTCGGGCCGGCGTGGGGTTCCCTGGTCCCAGCCACGCCACCACGGCTTGCTGGAGGCAACACCTTTCCCGGTGGGAAGGAGGAGAACGGCTCAGGGGCCGCCCCACCCCTCGGCCTGCAGGGTCCCGGGCCCTCAGCCTGGGCTTTCTCCTCTGCGGCCCCGCGCTGACCGCCGATTGTTAATTCATTCGGGGGCTTCTGGGCGCCTGGGGCGCCCCGAGCTGGGTGCGGGGCGATGTGGCCGCAGGACCGGCCCTGGCTTTTCAGGACTTCAGGCGTGTAGATCAGAGGAAACTTCGAGGCCGAATTGAACGTTGCCGAGTGGAGGTCAGGGGGTGTCGACTTTCATGATTCAGGACTTTTCCTTAAGAAGGAACACCCCCCTCAAGAGATGCCATTTTTCTCCTTTCAAAGACCGGTTTTTAAGTTGTCTAATGTCATTCAAGAAAACAGAGAGTCCTCACCAACTGCTGGGCTGAGTGACCACGTTCTGGGTTTGCAGCGAGTCCCTTGATCTCGGAGACTGGCTGGGAGTGGGGTGCTGAACCCCAAGTTCCCAGCAAGCTCCTGGCCCACCTCCCTTGGTGTTTGGGGTAGAATGGTATGGCAGGTTGAGCTCCGGTGGGCCTGGGGGTCTTGGAGAGATGGTTTGCCCATCTGGTTCCAAACCCCAGATTCTGCTGAGCTGGGAAGTTCTGCCTGTGAATTTGAGGGTGCAAGGGGCCTTTGAGCTCAGAGGAGGGAGCCAGCAAAGGCACCGAAACCTCTGGAGAGAATTCAGAGGGTTCATGAGCTCAGTTGGGAAACATGTTTATCACCTTGGGCAGAAATTTAGCTCTCGGCCACGCAGGTGGCAAGTGCAGCTATGCCTGAGACTCTGCCCTCCACAGAATTCGGTTTCGAATCACACTGGTCGTCGTAGCTGCCCCGAGATGTTGTCGACACTCATCCCTTCCATGAAAATACCCGCTGGTGATCCTGTATAATGTGAACGCAGACGCACGTCTGCTACTGCGTTTCAGTATCACTGGGTCTGTTAGTGATTCTCTCGATTTTATTTTCTGCATCAGAAAATACTGCTGATTCTAGAAACTTCCATCCTCTCCCACCTGGAGCTGGGGGATGGGCAGGGTGGGGGGAGCATGTCAATTAGGGGCAAAGCCAACTCCTCTCTGTTTGACATTGGAAGAATGTAGCAAACCTGTAGGGGGTGGGAGGGCTGTTGTTTTTCCAGAAGGGAAGGGCTTAGGCTCCTGACCCCTGAGCAGGCTTCTCACCTCGGCTGGGATGGGGCTGTTCCCTGTTGGGGCCCCTCAACCTCAGCCTGGGGAGGGGAGCTGGTCAGCCTGGAGGGTTGGGATTGCGTTGTTTGGAGAGGGTGTGCAGGAATGTGAGGGTGAGCTGGGTATGTGTGCGTGTCTGTGGGGGGCAGATCGAAGAGGAGGGGTCTAAGGGAGCTCTGGGGGAAACAGCTCTGGAGGGGGACACAGCTCTGCTCCACGGAGGTGCTTGGTGGAGGTGACTTCTCCATCTGGGGGACGGGGGAGGGGTGGGGTGGGGGAGGGAAGCACTCCAGAGCTAGGTCGAGGGGCTGGGATTCCAGGGAGGGGTCTTGGTGGAGAATCAGAGTGGGGGGCAGGGAGGTGTGTAAGGGCAGAAAGAGTCCGTGCACCCGGCACCAGCAGAGCCAGACACTGGACACGAAATGCAGTGGACAAATACTGGCCACTGTACCAACGGATCGTGCCATCCAGGAGAACGGAGTCTAATGCTCAAAGCCTGGACCGGTTTATGGCAGGCAGGTGGCCGATTAAATAGGGTGAAATCAGAGTCGACTGCTTGAAGGTGAGGTTAGGGTGATGGGCAAGTCATTGCTTCGGGCTTCAGGACAATTCTGAGGTCTGTCCCTGTGACCCTCTGTGTGGTTTCATGGAAAGTACCTGGGCTCAGGAGCTGAACCCTAACTTAGGTCAAGACGTTCCCTTTAGCCTGCCGAGGGCCAGCCCTGTGGCCATGAGTCAGATCTCTCAGGGGTAGAGAGAAAGGATTTTTAGAGCCAGGATTTAGAACTATATTTACTCAAAGTCGTAAGGACCCATGGTTTCAGGTGGTGGGCGAAACCTTCATCTACAGCATTTCTGCTTTTCAGCCCGCTGGGGACAGGCGACAGGCGACAGGTGGCCTTCCCCTCGCTTACCCCCAGGAATGGGCTGAATTCCAACAGTTTGTTTGAGGGTCATTGGGGTGGGAGACTTGGAGGCTTAGTTTTGGTCTCTATCCCTTATGTTTGGGGACAGGACTGGATTCAGGTCAGTGCTCTGTGGACCCTCCTGAGGGACAGATATAAGTAACAAACAGGGAGGTGATGGCCTTCATCATTGGGGGGAGGTGTCTGGGATACAAAGTGGGAACAGCCCAGCTGGTGTGGCTCAGGGGTTGAGCATCAACCCTGCACCAAGAGGTCACCGGTTCGATTCCCGGTCAGGACACATGCCCAGGTTTTGGGCCGATCCCCAGTTGGGGGCATGCAGGAGGCGGCCAGTCGATGTTCTCTCTCATCGATGTTTCTATCTCTCCCTCTCCCTTCCTCTCTAAAATCAATAAAGAAAAATGTTTTTTTTTAAAAAAAGGGGGAACAGCCCTGGCCAGGTGACTCGGTGGGAGCATTGTCCCTGTGCACTGAAGGGTCGCAGGTTCAATTCCTGGTCAGGGCACATACCCAGTGTTCAGGTTCGATCCCTGGCAGGGTGCATACCAGAGGCAACCGATCGATGTTTTTCTGTCACGTCGATGTTCGTCTCTCTCGCCTCCTTCCTCTACCTCTAAACATCAGTGAAAGCATGTCCTCCGGTGAGGAACGGCCTGGCCTTCCCGAGGTTTTCAAGGTGCCTTGGGAGAGCCAGAACTCAGGTGGACAGAGAGGGGGTGGCCTAGCCTTGTTTGTGTCTCTCGCTGGTGCTCCCCGTGGAGAGTCAGCCTCACCCCGCCTCCGGGGCCTTGTGGGCCTTGTCTTCTGGGAAGGGAAACTGAGGTTCGGGAGGGCAGTGACCACCCGAGGTAGGAGCCAGAGTCAGGGCAGGAGGGCACTTGGACCCCTCACAGCTCAGTACATTGCACCCGGACCCTCAAGGCCATGAACACCGGACCCCTGTTGCCTCCCTGTGGGGTCCCTTTGTGGGGAGCCCCTGCTCCCTCTGCCCTGCAGTCCCCAGTCCCGGAAGTGCAGAGGCCCAGGAGCGGCCAGGGTGGATTGTTCAGGGAGGGGCTAGCTCACCTGCTCCTCCCTCTGACTCAAGTCACGACAAGTAACCTGGTTCCCCTGGCCCGGCAGCCTGGGAGGGAGGGGCCGGCAGCCTGGGAGGGAGGGGCCGGAGGCCAGGCTGTGGTGGGACCAGCGTGAGGGCAGCCGGCCGGGCCAGAGAGCCAGGTGGAGGCCAGCAGCAGGAGGCCGCGGGGCTGGGGAGAACCCCAGGCGCCATGAGAAGGCTCTGGGCCCCCTGACCTGGGAACGGGGCTGTTTCTGGACGCGGACTAGCAGGCAGAAGCAGGTGAGGGCAGGGCGGGTGGGGCAGGTCCTTGAGCCAGGGAGCGGCCCAGGCAGTGGCCAGCACCACCGTCCCCTCCTCCTGCGGTCGGGCCCAGGGGTGCTGGAGGTGCTGGTGGGCCCCGACGAGCCTGTCCCTCCAGTTCTGAGGCCTCAGTTTCCACAGGAGGAAGGGAAGCTGGGCGAGAGGCCCGGAACCTGGCTTCCTGGCCCGTGGAGAAGGGAGGACCCCAGTGGCCGGGCCTGAGGAGGGCTCTGGGGTCGCCCCTCCCTCCACACCCTGCTCTGTCTCTGGGCCTTGTTCAGCTGTGCAGGTGGATTGCTGCTTAGGGCCCGGGGCCGGGGGGCCAAAGGGCAGGGGTTCCATGTTAGGGACGGGGTGGGGCGTTCCCCAAACTGCCTTCACCTGAACACAGAGCCCGAAGCTCCTCAGCCTCCAGACCCCCTCCCTGTCCCCGAAGAGGTGGGCTCCTGGAGGTCCCCATGGTGGGCAGAGCAGCCCGGGCGGGGCCTGAGGAGGGGGCCTGCTGCGGGGCCTAGTCTGACACTGCCCGAGGGGCCGGGCTCAGGCTGGGGCTGGGAGGGCCACAGCCCGGCTCCTCGTCACTGTGCCTGAGGGGAAGGGGCCCAGAGAGGCAAGGTGACTTTCCCAGGGTAACACAGCCTTGAGTCTGGAGTCCCAGTGGGCTCAGCGTCAGACTGGGACCCCCGCTTGGCAGCGCCTCCCCCTGGACCCCGCGGCCTGGGGCGCAGGAGCTGGGGGAGAGGCAGCTACGGCCATCTGCGTAGCTCCCCTTGGAACTGCCCCTCTGCACCAGGTCCCGCAACTTCCCAAGGCAGTTCCTTCCTGGTTAATAATTAATGGACAAGTGTGACTAATTAACAGCTCCCTGAGCAGTACCTCTACCTGTCCTGAGCTTGCCGAGACCACCCAGCTCTGGCTGGCCCTGGCCTCGGCTTTTCGGGGTCCGGGGTTGTTAGGCTGAGGGTCTGGGAAGGATGCACGGGGCCGGGGTGACTCCTCCAGTGTCCCCAGAACCTACTGACAGTCTGTCTCTGGGGCAGGTGTGCAAAGGCCCGAGGAAGCTTTCCTGGGAGTCCTGCCTCCAGACTGCCCGGGGCACAGCTCTCGGGAGCAGGACCTGCCGGCGCAGTGGTCGCCTGCGCGCTGTGACACCCGGGTGAGTCTGGGAAAGTTCTGGTTCTGGTTCTGGTTCTGTCTCCGCAGGCAGAAGTGCCCTGGAGACCAAGTCCTGCTCCCTCTCTCTGCCTTGCTCCGTGCTGGCTTTCTGTCCTGGGGGCTGGCTGCCCCCACCCCTGTCCCATGCCCTGGTGTGGGGGGGGGGGGCAGGATAAGCCCCAGACAGAGACTCAGAGGGACTGGGCCCTTGTTGCTCAATGGGCTGACTCAGGGAGGAGGTGGCTGGGCTCCTTCCAGACGGCCTCCCGGCCCTGCCCGCCCACCCCACCCCTGCTCCACTCCTCCGAGCAGCCAGCTGACCAGGGTGTGGATTTGGGGAGGAGAGGGGGCGGGCAGCAGGTGCTGCTTGGCTGAGGGGCACCAGCTGGGCCAACACTCAGCTGGGCCAGTGTCCGAGCCTCCCCTGTGCTTCCGAGCCTCAGGGAGGCAGAGGTGTGGCCATCTCTCTGTCCCTGGGTGGCTCCCACTCTCGTCACCCTCCACACCACGCAACTCTGACACACTCCTGGGGCTCCCCGGCTGTGGGGGGCAGGAGACGCAGGCCGACTCCCACTGAGGACTCTCCTAGGCATGGCTGGTGGCCCGGGAGTGGGTTTGGGGCTTTGGGACAGCTCTCCGGCACCTACCTTGATGAACACCTGGTTGGAGAGCAGGGCAGCCTGGGCTTTGGGGCCACAGGGTCACCCTCGTGCCTCCGAGGTCGTCCTATGGGGACAGCCATACCCCGTGTGACATCGTCCCCGCCCTGTGCTGCCCCCCTTCATCCTTCTAGTCCCCATCCTTTTGCCTGCCGGGGTCAGGAGTTCCTACGGCCACCATGGCCATCACTCCTCTGGGCAAGAGGCCTCTCTGGGAAGGAGGCAGCAGGGGTGTGCTGGTGGGACCCACAGAGCCTTGTGCTGAGAGCCCCCACCCGTCCCAGACACACACACACACACACGAGTCTGACTCCTAAGCTCTGTTTGGAGCCAGGGGTTGTTGACACGTAGTTTTTCTGTTGTCTCTTAAAAGCCGGGGAAACCCCGGGCCGCCTACACATCCTGGGCCAGGCTGGGAAGGGTGTCCTGCCTCCCTGCCGGGTGCCCCCTCCCAGAGAGCAGCCATGGAGAGTAAGGATGAGGTCAGCGACTCGGACAGCGGTGTCATCCTGCAGTCTGGTGCGTGGTTCAGGAAGTCTGATGCCGTGGCTGGCCAGGTGGAGGTGCTGGGGGGGGGGGTTCTGCTGGGGGCGGCGCTGGGAGGGCTGGACAGTATCCCCGCTGCTGATACCGTCTGGAGCCGGTATCTCCCACTTGGGTGCCAGTGATCACTCTGTTGAAAACTGTCCCTGGCTGGTGTGAAGGTCTTGCCTCTGGCTGGCCTGAGCTTGGATCTGGGCTGACAGAGGGAGGGAGTGTGTGCGTGTACACGAACATACTTCCACGGTGGTCAACGCGGTCTGAGCGAGGCTGCCCTCCGCCCCCAGGGCCCGACAGCCCGGTGTCCCCGCTGAAGGAGCTGAAGGAGGCGAAGGAGCTGACCTACGCCATGCGCAAGCAGCAGCGGGCCCTGGAGGAGCGCCTGGAGGCCTGCCTGGGGGAGCTGAGGAGGCTCTGCCTGCGGGAGGCGGTGAGCCTGGGCCCCTCTGCACGTCTGCACTGGGGTTCATCCGAGGAGCCCCACTGTGGGATATCGGGGCTGAGGGAAAGGGGAGCTTTGGCAATCAGATGGGCATGGTGCCCGGAATCCTGTGCGTGGGCACCGGCAGCTCGGGAGGGGAAAGGCAGGGCCGCGGAGGGACCGGGCAGAGGACGCGAGCGGCCGGGGTCAGGGCACAGCTCTGGGAGAAGAGGACGAGGAGGCTTGAGGGGTGGGGGCAGAGGTGCCTCAGGATGCCAGTGAAACCGCCCCGAGGGTGGGCAGTGCCCGCTGGACACTGTCGGCCGGCCTGGTGTGACGTCGCTTCCCCTGCAGGAGCTGACGGGCATCTTGCCAGCCGAGTACCCCCTCAAGCCCGGGGAGAAGGCCCCCAAGGTCCGCCGCAGGATCGGAGCAGCGTACAAGCTGGATGAGCAGGCCTTGCTCGGGCAGGTGAGGGAATTCGGCCGCCGTCCCTCGGTGCCCAGAGGTGGTCCCTGAGCCTGGACCCAGCTCCGGAGGAGGAAGCTGTGATGCCGTGTGTCTCCCCCGGCACTTGGCCGTCTCCACTCCGTCGCACCCACAGGGGTGCTGGGCGCTGCGTGGATGAGGGGCACCCACTAAGGTGTACCCAGACGGCCGTGGGGAAGGTGTGCCGTCCTAGGCAGCCAGGCAGCTGGCAACTCCGGGGCAGACATGGGTTTGGTCCCCAGTGGGCAGAAGATCAGTTAAGAGCTTAACCGCCGGCCTGGAGAGGCGGTGGCCTGTTCAGACAGGTGTCTGGCCTCCTCCTCCTTGTTGGACGGTGGCCCAGGCCCTCCTAGGAGCCCCTCCCTGGGGTGAGAGGGGACACTTCCCCTGGGCTCTGCCTGCCCAACCCTCTGGGGTCAGGAGGGAAAACGTCCCGCTTGGGTTTCCACGCCTGGCTGGGCAGGCCGACACCCTCCCCGCACGGGCGCCCGGGGCCAGGATCCAGGGCACTGTGGGCTGTCCTGTCCCCAGGCCCCCGCCTCCCAGCTCACCTCGCCCTCCCCCAGGACCCCCTGAGCAGCCTGGAGCAGGAGCTGGCCCTGCAGCTGCACATCGCGGAGGCCGCGCGGCGGCTGAGCCGGGAGGAGAAGCTGGGCCGCCAGGCCCGCCGGCAGCGGAAGCACGCGGTGCTGCGGGAGGAGGAGAAGCTGCGGGCGCTGGAGCGCTGCCTGGGCGAGCAGCGGCGCCACCGGGGGTCCCTGCCCGCCGCCGCCCTGCCGCTGGGCCGAGGTGCGTCTGTGTCCTGGGCCCCCCTGCGCTCGGCTCCTGCAGGTGGGGCGCTGCATCGGCCGCACGCGCCCCACCGAGCCCGACCCCCCCAGCCTGCGCGCCCCCTGCAGAGCCCGCCCCCCCCCCGCCGAGCCTGCACGCACCCCCTGCTGAGCCTACGCGCCCCCCGCCGAGCCTGCGCGCGCCCCCCGCCGAGCCCGTGTGCCCCCGCCGAGCCTGCGCTCCCCCTGCCGAGCGCGCCCCCCGCTGAGCCCATGCGCGCCCCCTGTCAAGCCTGCGTGTACCCCCTGCTGACCCTCAAGCCCCCACAAGCCTCAGCGAGACCCTGTCCCCCAGCTCCTCCGAGAGCAAACCCCTCCTGCCCTCTGCATCCTCTCAAGTCCCGTCCCCCACGCGTCCTGGACAGAGGCCTCCACAGGCTGCCCTCGAGCTCATCCCCAGGGCTCCTCACCTGTGGGCGTCCGGTCCACCCTCACGCCCTGCGGGCCCGCAGGGAGCTGCCTCATGCGTCAGGCCCTGGGGTCCTGGGGCTGGCGGCCGGCCTGAGTGAGGCCGCCCAGGGCGCCTTGGCTCGGCAGCCCCCGCACACGTGGTGTCAGGGCTGATTCCAGGGCCCACGGCCGCCCGGGCTGGTCAGGTGGAGGCCCTGCCCGCCAGTGCCCGCCCCACAACCCCTTGAGTTTCCAGAACCCTCTGGTCAGGGGCACCCCTTCCTCTTGAGCAGTTGAGTCCCTGAGCCCCATAGCCAGGGACCCGTGATGGTGCCTCCTGGTGAGTCGTCTGGGCCCAGACCCAGCCGCTGGTGGTGCCAGTGGGACCAGCCGGGTTACCTCCCTAGACCCAAACCCCGCTGTGGTCCGCAGCCCTCCCTGGCAAGGGCATCGTGCCCTTGGCAGGCCCCTCCCCCAGGCCTCTCCTGGGTTCCGATCTGCACCGTGAGGGGCGGGAGGAGGGCTTGGTGGTGGCCCTGGGGCAGAACTGGATTCCTGGCCTGGTCAGGGCTGGGGCAGTCATCAGCTGCTCCCACCCCCGCGGGCTCCGGCCCTGCCCGCAGCCTGGGGGCTGGCTCTCTGTCCAGGCTCCCCAGGTTGGGACCTCGTGTGGGACTGGGAAGCTCTTCCTGGTCCCCTGTCCTGTGCCCCGGGCAGTGACGATCAGGAGTCCCGCACCCCAACGTGGTCTCTGGTTTAGGGTAGAGAGGGTATGACCAGACTCCTCCCAGGTCACCTTTAGCAGCCAGGAGTAGAGGCCAAGGGAGGAGGGTGACCCAGTAATCACAGGAGATGGGCAGTGACCCAGGCCCAGGTGGCCAGACCTCTCTGGCCTGCACGAGGACACTGCTGTCCCCGGGGCTCTGATGGAGGAGAAGCTGGCCACCCTCCCTCCACCACCGACTGCTGAGCCTGGCAGACAGGCCCTGAGGGCACCCCCTGGTGTGCCGGCAGGAGCCCTGGGGAGGAGGTGCCCTAGTCCCTGTCCGGCTCCGCCCCTCTTGGGTCCTGCCCAGGGTCTGTGGTTTCCAGGGTGGCGGAGGGTGTGGGGTGCCACTCTGCTGCCACCGTTGCCGCCGATGCTGCTGCTTGTTGGGAGTGGGGGGGGGGCGGGCAGGACACACCTGGGGCTGTGGTCAGCGCTGTGGGAGGCAGGAGGCCCTGAAACCTTCTCGGGCTGCGGAGAAGAAATGGGCGTAGCAGCTGACTGTCCCCCTCCAGGTCAGAGGAGGCCGCTGTCTCCTCTCTCGAGCCCTGTCTTGACATGGACTCGAGGTCCAGGGTTCTGGTGTCCCGCCTTGCGGGCCGGGGGACACTGCTCCCCAGCAATGCCTGCTCTGCCCACCTCTGCACTCCTGGAAGGAGGGCGTAGGGAGGGTTAGCGATGAGGAGCTGAAAGGTGTTTTGAACGAAAAAGAGAAAAAAAAAATAGCAAACAGATAAACCAAAGAGGAAAACCACCGCCCACGCTCGTCTGGGACGGTTACCGGGGCAGGTGAGAGGTGAGAGTAAGTAGCGCTGCAGGTGGTGGGGTGCAGGAGCTGGGTGCCCACAGGGACCCCGATGAGACGTGCCCCCGGCACACTGGTAATATCGGCGAGGCCCCTCGTGCGTCTGCTGGTTGGCAGCCTCTCGCCATGCTGTCTGGACTGGTCTCCATCTGACCGCCCAGCATGGTGGCCACTAGCCACACGGGGCCTGGGCATGGGAGATGTGGCCCGTGTAGCCAAGGAACTGACTTCATTTATTTTGCTTGAATTAAAATAGCGGCCGGTAAGATGCTGAGCGTGTGAGGGTGACCCCCGCGGGTCCCTCTGCTTGGGGGTGCAGCTGGCGCTCCGGGCTGAGGGCAGGGGTGGGGAGCCTGGCTTGGGCAGTGTGGCCGAGCCTGGACCTGTCCTCGGGAACTCTGTGTTCGGCTGGAGAGAGGTGTGCCTGGCCCAGCTCTGCAGGTCCCCGGCCTATGGAACGCCCACCTGCTGGCTTTGGGGGCATCAGGGATGGCGAGGCTGCTGTCTCCGTCCCAGACCAGTACACACGACTTGAACCCCAGCTGCCTTGCGGGGCCGTGATGGTAACAGTCCCACCGTTTCTTCAACCTGGCATTTGCGAAAAAGAAGCCTTTATTCCCGGGTTGTTGTGAAAGACTGGAGGCGGGGACCAGAATCAACAGGAGGGCATCTCCTGCACTGAAACCCAGAGCGAAGGCTGGCGAGGGGAGCGTGGCCTCCCCCCGACGCCGCCAGGAAACTGCCGCCAGAAAGCTCGGCTTTTTTGTGACAGAAGGGGAAACTGAGGCCCATAGCAACGAAGAGGCTTGTTCGTGGTCGCACAAGTAACGGCGGAGCCAGGAGGCAAATCCGGCTTCCTGTCTCACGTCTGGTCTTTTGGTCTACTTCCAAGTAACAAATTCACACCCAGCAGAGTATTTAACACGCCGTTGGCACTTCCTGGTCCAGGGTCCATCGGGAAGGGGGCAGGGCCAGGCCTGGGCTGCTGCTGCTGGGGGCACATTGGGCTCCTCACCTCTGTCTCCTTTCCTCTCTCCCAGAGCTCAGTGCTTCCGACGACAGCTCCCTGTCGGACATGCTGCTTCCGGAGGAAGGTGAGGGGCCGTGCGGGACAGTCGGGGCTGAGCTCCTCTGCAGGACCCCGGGCTCTGGCAGCGTGTACTGGTGACACCCTCGAATGGGGGGCGGCTGCCCCTCCTACCGGTACTGGTGTCTGGCCCTGCCCGTGCTCGGTGAGGTGGGGACGCACCGTCCCCTTTCCGTTCTGGATGCTTGGTCGTCCTGATAGGAGAGGGACGGGCCAGTTCCAGCCGAGCCCCGGCCTTCCCTCCGCCCTGGACGTTTATTTCGATACGCACCTGTCAGAGCCCAGGAGACCTGGCTGCAGTCACCGTTCTTGGTGACCAGAGGGGGGCAGGAAATACAAGTCCCAGATTAAGAACTCTGGTTACAAACCCTAAGGCTGCTGGGGGTGGGGGTGGGGTCAAGGTGACCAAGGTGTGCAGTCCGGCCCAGGGGAGTGTCCAAGCCAATAAGGAAGCAGCACACATGAGCACGGCTTGGGCAAGAAAAACGGGGCACCAGAGGGCTCACTGCAGGCCCGACTCCAGGAGCAAAGGTGGCAAGTGAAGTCACCTGAGCCGAGGAGAGTCGATCTGGGGAGGCTTCTTGAAGGAGGCAGGCGTGAGATAGGGCTGTGAGGGAGGGATTCAGTCCCCAAGGAGAAGCCCTGGACTATCTGGGCCAAGAGCCACGGCCTGGCACAGCCGGACCAGCAGCCTGGGAGGGAGGGAGGGAGGGAGGGCTGGGCTCGGCGGGGATTCCTGTTGGGCTGGTTCTCCAGCCGCTGCCTTCACAGGGCCCTTTCTCCCGCAGAGGACGCCCCGGTGCCAAAGCCGGCCCCAGCATCCTCGCCCCAGAGCCCAGAGGGGCTGCCGGCCACAGGGCTTGAGACGGGGGTCCTGGACCGGGCCCCCATCCAGAACGGCCCCTGGAAGGAGACCAGCCTGGACCGACCCTATGAGAAGCCCGGGAGGACTTCGGACCCCACTAGCGAGTCTAGGTCAGGGTGCAAGGGAGGGAGGGGGCTGGGAGCAGGGGTCTCAGGCACTGCCCCTGGCGCCAGCTGTGTGCTGGTGGGAAGTGGGGCCCCTTCCTCAGCACAGCACCCCCGCCCTGACCCATCCCCAATCCCTCTGCAGCAGCCCGGCCACCACGCCGCAGGACGGGCCCAGCACCTCCAGCCTGTGGCTGCTGGAACCTGCCTCCTACCACGTGGTCCCCGTCCGCAGGGCTCCTGGCCAGCGGCAGGGCCGGACCAGTGCCCCCACCACCCCAGACATGCAGGGGAAGAGGGGCCAGTCGCAGTCTCTGAGGTAAAGGACAGCCCACCCCGAGACGTAGGGAGGGACAGGCCATCCTGGGGCCTCTGGACGAGGCTGCGCTCAGCCTGTGAGGCCAGAGGCGCGTCGTCCACGGAGCCTGCCTCTCCCAGAGTCCAGCCCGTCACCGGCAGTCTCTTCCCTCACCCTGGGCTCAAGGCCACAGAACGTGGGTGTGGGCGGGCCCTCCAGAGTCCACAGACTGTCCCGTGGCTGGCCCCTGACAGTGTGCAGCTGATTCTCATCAGTTGCGGTAGTTTGATGTCCCTCAAGGTCGCCACAGACACCAAATGCCTGAAAACCAAGTCCTCGCCCCTGGGGCACGTGACTTTGCCAGCGCTCTGCTGCTCGGTGCTGGCGTAGGTGACCGAGTCAGGACAGGCCGTGTGGTCCTGTCCTCAGGACAACCGCCAGGTGTCCAGGCACCAGCCGGGTCTGGGGGTCCCCTGTCCGCAAACTCTCGTCAGACAGCACGAGATGGGGGCAGCCTGGGACCACCGAGCAGGTCAAGACTGGCTTTTAGGTTTCACCTGCGCCAGGGCCCTTGGTGCAAATGAGTGAAAGGCGTCCCCTCTGGGCACACACAGCCCTGTGACCCCGTGCGTCCCCCCTGCTGGGCCCGGGCTGGTGCCCTTGGGGAGGGCCGCATTGTCCTGCTGCGGCTCCGTAAGGAAAGACGACAGGAGTGCTGTCTCGGGGTCCTGGGGCTGGGAGTGTCCGGGCTGGTTTCTCCAGAGGCCTCTGCCTTGGGTTGTAGACCACGGTCCCCTCTTCCTGTGGCCGTTTCTCTGGCGCGTAGAGGCTTTCACACCTTCAGGACAGCGGCTGTGGGTGAAACGCACTGAACACAGGGCCACCCGCAGGCTGAGGACCCGAGACAGCGGTGTGGCCCCAGGCACGAGTGAGGGCCGCAGTTCCCACGTGGGGCCAGGACGGAGTCTGCGTTTGGAGACACCTGCCTGGCCTCTGTCCCCACCTCGCAGACTCAGGATGTCTGTCTCCTTTCCGCCCCCAGGATGGACTCCTTCCGGGCAGGTCCCCGCCGCCGCCCTACACACTACACAGTGACCGTGCCCAGTTCCTGCTGGCCCCTGAGTGGCCCCCCGCGGCCGCCTCACGCCCCCCACTCCTGCTCTGAGGACAGCAGCTCCGACGGCTCCAGCGTGTCCCACGCGCCCTCACCCGGCAGCAGCAGCCCCGACATCTGTGCCCTGCGGCCGCTGTCCCCACCCAGGGCGCCCGGCCACCATGGGGCCTGGGGCCCGGCAGCGCCCCATCCATCGCTGCTGCTGCCCCCCGGGCCCTGCCCGGCCGGGCGGTACGTGGTGGTGGCCGAGGGCTGCCTGCCGCCCAGCGAGCTGGACCTGGTGGCCCGTGAGGAGGAGGGGCTGGCCCTTCGTCTCCAGCAGCTGCAGCAGCTGCAGCAGCACGTGCGCCCCCGAGGCCGCCTGGCGCGCGCGCCCTCCCTCAAGGACAGCCCCGCCGGCCGGGCGCTCTGCCGGGCGGCCGTGAGCCAGGAGCTGCAGTCCTGGCATGAGCGCGTCCGGCTGCGGAGCGCGCGCCCCCACTCGCTGGACCGCCACGGGGCCTTCCGCGTGCGCAGCCTGCCCCCTGGGCGGGGCCTGGGGCCCCGGACACAGGTGAGGGTCGCCGGGCCTTCAGGCTAGAGAAGGGCCGCCCGTCCAGCAGGCCCAAGGGTAGAGGGACAGACACCAGCAGGCCAGAGACCATCCCCCTTGGCCATGGAGGGCACCCTGACTGCCTGGGCACCTCCTCATCTTGCCTGTGTGTCCAGCTCAGGAGCACACGCCCACACACAGTCCCCCCTTGAGTCCCATCCACGTGAGCCACCCGGATTTTCTGACTTGAGCGGGCGGGACCGAGGGAGTTTGGAGAAGTGTTGGCAGGTGCCAGAGCCTGGGGCTCCCTGTTGGTCAGTGGGCTCCCCGACTCCCCTGAGTGCCACCAAGCTGACCAGCGGATCGGCACATGGGTTGAGCCAGGCCCTGAGTGACTGCCCCGGTGCAGGTCAGCCTGCTGCCTCCCAGGAATGCGTGGGCAATGGGTTACCTCTGCCAGCCTCTCCCGCCCTCGTAAGTGGGAGCTCCGTCGTCACAGACAGGGAGGGCGTTCGGGGACTTCGCTCGTGCGAAACAGTCGGGAAAGCATAGCAGCCACAGCCAGGGAGGGCAGCTCAGGGAGCGGACCCTGACCTGTGATGTTGGGGTGGCCCCCTGGGTTCTCCGGCCCGGTCTCTTCACTGCGGAAGTGAGCAGAGCACCCATGAGAGTTCTGGTGTCCCCGGTACCGAGAGCTCAGCACGGGGCACGCTCCTGGAGCGACCAGGCTGCCGCTTTGAGACCCTAGATCCCCGAAGGCTCGGAGGCTCGGCTGGGTGTCCCTGCTGCCTCCTCTCCTCCCACTGCAGCTGGCCTCTGGGCCGTCCTGGGCCGCGCCCCCAGCTTTCCCCGTCCTGCAAGCTTGGACCTGTTCTTGGCCGAGCTCAGCCCACTGCAACCTGTCAGACAGGGAGGGTGGTGAGGAGTGAACCGGGAAGGGGGGAGGGGAGAGTAGGAGGTCAGGGCGCCTGGCACACCCCAAAGGTTGCTGGAGTGGAAAGCGGGCAAAGGGTGATCCCTGGGGGCTGAGGGGTGGGCCGGGGCTGCCGTCAGTCAAGTCCTCAGGACGAGGGTGGTGTCCTGGGTGTGTTCTGTGCCCAATTCTGCCCAGTCTGCTCACCCACCTCACCTTTGCTTCTGACCCTGGCAGGTGCCCACGGTGTGTGTGCTCCGCAGATCACCTGAGGGGGCCCCTGTGCAGGTCTTCGTACCCGAGAACGGAGAGATCATCAGCCAGGTGTAGGCGTGGCCAGGTGTGCCCTGTGCTGCGCGGGCTGCTCCTGGGGGGCCGAGACCCCACCTCCTGTGCCTTCTGCAGCTCCCCGTCCCTGTCGCGGGTCGACGACCTGGAGCTGAGACTTCCCTTTTCTACTAGTTTTTGTTCAGAAGTACCGAGGGCGTATAGTGTCCTGTACTCGAGATCCCTGTCACGTGGTGATGCCGGACCGAGGCCTTGTCCGTCTGTCTGCCCGACAGCGTCTCCTTATGCAAGATGGGGCGGGACACAGGCAGACAAGGCTGTGTCGGTCCCCAAATGCTCGCCCTCTGATTCTGAGACTACCCCTGGGGAACAGCCTGGCCCCCCTGACCCCTGTGCTGTGTGCACACCCCTCCCCGTCTCCCAGCTCTCTGGGTGCCTCGGGGTGCCGGGCTGGGGAGCCTCCTCCCCCTACAATGTGCTCTGTGACGCACACGCCAAGTGGGGGACAGAGGTCTGTCCAGGTGGAGGACTGTCTTCCTTGGCCCTTACTTTCCTGAGCCCTTGAATCCTGTGCAGGGCCCCAGGCATGTCCACTTGGGGCCTGTGGGCTCCCGGATTCTCCCGACCTCTGAGCCTTGAGTCTGAGGCCTCACCAGGTCAGCCTCAGGAGCCCCCGCTGGAGAACAGCTCAAGCTGAAGACCGACACGGGACGGATGTTGCAGAGGGGCACCACCGTGTGGCACCTCTGAGGCCCAGGCGGGGTCACAGCCCCTTGCAGTCCACGCGCCGCCCTGCGTCAGCCCTGAGACCGGACGTCCTGGCCCTAATCAGACGGGAGCACCCGCCCGAACAGCGTCATGAACTGTCCCAGCCGCTGAGACCTGAGGGGGCCTGGAGCTGCTGGCTCAGACCAGAGGGGGTCCCTGCCCCGGACGCGGGGTCTCTGCTGCGAGGAGAGCCCTGGGTTCTGACTTCACCCACGCAGACCCTTCCCTCCGAGTTCCCTGGACTCGGTCGTGCAGCTGCAGCTTCCGAGAAATGGGTGCCTAACTGCGAGACCCGTCCTCCCAGCTGGACAGCGGGGTTGCCCACCGCACGGGCGGGTGCGGAGGGCAGAGCCCAGGCGGCCGGCGCAGAGTCGGGGGGAGGGGCAGCCCTGCATGTCGACTGTCCCACTTTGGATGCTGTGTTCGGTGTGTCCCCAAGCCCCTCCCCAGACCCAGCCATCTCCCTCCGGGTGTCCTCTGGTGTGCCGGGCCAGGACACGACTGAGCGCCCACTGCCCACACACCTGAGCGTCCTGTATGTTAACTTATTGGTCCCGTGTGATGCCCGGCCACGTCCGCAGCTGGGGGGCTGCACCTGTGTGGATGTTCGTGCCAAACACTTCAATAAAGTCTGTTTTCCGTGGTCCGCTGAGCAGACTGGGTGAAGGGTTCTTTGGTGCCGAGAATCTCTGCCCGTTCCCCAGGACGCCCGCCCAGGGCTGCAGACCGGCCAGGTCCTGGGAACAGGCGGCTGTGAGGTAGGAGCGGCCTCTCTGGCCATCCGTTCCCAGCGGAGTGGACACAGGTCTTCCAGGCCCAGAGCTGGGCTCTGGGAGCCACTTCGCCAAGGACAGGACAGGGACTTGGCAGTCTCAGGAGGCCGGGGTCCTGCCGGCCGGGCTTGGCTGTGGGTGCGGCCGAGTCTCCAGCTCCTCGTGGCTGGCCCATCGGGGAGGCTCTGGTGACAAATGGCCTGTCTGCAGAGCTGGACAAGTCGGGGTTTCCTTGGGGTGATGGAGGTGCTCTCCACAAGCCCCTCCCCCATCTCAGGGACGGGGAGGGGGAGGGGAGCTCCACCAGGACCCCTCCCTGCCTGCCCTGCAGGGGTCGCTCAAGGGCCCCGGCACAGTGCCCCCTGGAGCTCATCTCAGGAGGAGCATGTGCTGGATCTGAGGTGACCCCGTTTCAGGTACTGGGGCTCTGCCTGTGCCCTCCCCAGCCAAGGAAGGGGCAGAGCGGGGAGGCTGGGCACACGGCCGCGGGCTGGGCAGTTCCCGTCAGCCCCGCGCTCCACCCTGGGGACCGTGGGCCCTGCGTCTTTGGGGCCTGGCCCGCTGAGGCCTGGGGTCTCCATTCTGAGAAGGGGGTTGGAGGGGACCCAACACCAGGGGTCTCTGGGAGGTGGGGGCCTCCTGATCTCAGGCCTGCACATCTCAGTCCGGCTGAATTTTGGGTGACAGGGCACAGGGTTAAGTAGTTTGGACCATTGTGACAAGTTAGCCCAGGTCCTGGGGACGGCCCGCCTGAGGGGCAGCTCAGAGGAGGGGAGGAGGGGGGCTGAGGAACCCCCACACGAGGTGCAGGGCAAGGACAGCCGGGCAGGCGGTCACTCCTGGTCCACAGCCGTCTCTGGGCCGCATTTGGGCGGGCAGACCTGGAGGCCCGACCGCAGGGCGGACGGGGGTACCACTGGGGCAGGGCAGAGGCCTCTGAGCAAGGGGCGTCGGGCCTCCCCAGGGCAGAGGGATGGACCCCAGGACTTGGGAGGCGACTTCTGAAGTGTCCCCCATTCAGGGAGAGCACTGAAGAGAAGACCCCTGGGAAGCTGGGGATAGTCGGGTGCTGCAGAGGGTCCCAAATGCTCCCACTGGGAGAGACAGGCAGTGGGGTGCTGCTCGGCCGACCCCTTGTTCCCAGGGCCTGCCTCCTGGACGCTCACCCTGCGGCGGACACGCCGTGGTCATCGGACGCTGCACAGCACTGCCCGTGTGCGCAGATGAACCCCAACCCCAACCGGCAGAAGACAAACAGAGTGACCTTCAAACAATCCACGGAGCATGTGTCTTGGAGGCCTAACCTGACCGGTGAGCAGTCGGTCGGGCTGGGCCCGGTTTCCTCCCCTCCCGACGCCCCCTTGGGGTGCACAGGCTCTGTTCTTAGCCTCACCCCCAGTCTCCTGTCAATGCCTGAGTCCCTGCTCCGGGAGGCTCCCCGAGGGCTACACCAGCCGCGTTGACGACGGACGGGGCTTCTAAGGCTGACCTGGGGCTTTAAGTCCATTCACATTCAAGAATGTCAAAGCTGCCCTGGCCCATACGGCTCGGTGGATGGAGCGTGTCCCGTGGACTGAGAGGTCCCAGTTCGATTCCCGATCAGGGCACACGCCCAGGTTGTGGGTTCGATCCCCAGTAGGGGACGTGCAGGAGGCAGCCGATTGCTGTTTCTCACATCCATGTTTCTATCTCTCCCTTTGTCTCTAAAAAAATCAATAAAAACATATTTAAAAAATAGAAAACGAATGTCAAAGCCCACGTGCGACAGCTGCAATAATCTGTGGCCACCAGGGGTGACTCCGGGGTCTCCCTATTCCCAGTCTTCCCTCCCTGGCCGTGCCTGGTTCGGAAAACCTCCTAACCAGGTCCCGCATAATCGGGTTCTGAGGCTTCTGAGGTCCCCTCTGGGCCACAGGCCTGGGGAAGCTGGTTCCGGAGCTGGGAGCCCACCCCAGGGCCCTGCGGGTTCCTGGGCCTCCCGCAGACGGCTGGCTAGGGTGGCTGGCAGGGGACCGCGCCGTCCCAGGGAGTCAGCTGAGCCCCTCCCAATGACATCCCTTCGTAGGGCTGCGCCAGTCAGAGAGAGAAGCCTATCAGTTCATCCTGGAATTTCTAGGAGAAGAAGAAATGGTAAGGATATTCTCAGGAACATTTTGAAAGCTGAGCCGGTACGTAGGGAAAGAAAGAAAAAGATGCTTCCTGCTTCCTTGGGTTTTGGAAACTAGCCCTGGCTGGAAATTCCACCGGTGTGTCCTCGCGACCTGCCCACCTCAGGTGGCAGGCGGACAGACGGCTGCCCGGAGGGCGACCGGGCCAGGCCGGGCAGTCCCGCGAGCGTCCGCGCCGGCTGGAGTGGGGTGTGGGCCGGGCTGGGCGTCTGCGCGGGGCCCTGCAGGAAGCCCTGGGACTGGCCTCGTGTGTTCTGTCCTAGTCTGAGTTCGACAAGCTGACGTTCCTGAGGGCCGTGGACACCCTGAGTGGTGCTGTCCGCGCCCAGGTTGACAAAACGATGGATGATTACTTACCTAAGACGGCTCTGGCCAAGAAAATCGAGGTAAGAAAGACCCGGGCCCTTCCAGGAGGGGGTCCTCCGGGGTGAGGGTGGCCGGTCCCAGGCCTGGGGCTGGCATCTCTGTCTGAGGGGGGTTCCCGCTTCTTCCCGGCCCTTCCAGACCTTGATCCTTGAAGAGGCCAGTGAGGTCTTGACCAGCAGCGTGCGTCAGCAAGCCATGCTCTGCGTTGTGGCCCTGAGGTCCTCCCTGCTGTCCCTTCCCCTGAGCCCTGGGGTCTCCATGCTGGGTTGAGAGGGAGGGCAAGGTTTTGAGCTGTGGGTGGCAGAGCCCATGACTGCTACCTCATCCACCAGCATGTGGGGCCGCCCAGCTTCACTACGGAAGCCTGTTAGGACGTCAGTGGGGGGAGGGCTCTGTGGGGAGCCTGGGGTGTCCCTCCCTGGCAAGGAGGCCATTGGGGGTGTTTGGGGCTCAGGTTTCTATCGTTCCCTGTGCCCCCGAGACAGCATTAGAGATGGTCCTTCCATGGGTCCCAGACACATATGTCAGCTCCCCCACATGTCCCCCAGAGCCCCCTTCCCTTCCTGCCCTCTCCCCAGCCAGGTGGCCCCGCCCTTCTACGTGGCTCAGAAGCTGGACCTGGTGAACGCGGGCATCAGCCGCATGTTCTCCCTGCCGCTCATCACGCCCAGCCAGGACCGGAAGGACAGCGCCAGCCTCTACTCCCAGGTGGGTCCTCAGGAGGGCGCTGTCCCTGCCCCCAGCACCCAGGCCCCCTCCTCGGCTCCCACAAAGCCTCTGTCTTCAGAGCGGACAGGGCGACGAGAAAACCGGACTCTAGGGAATGGCGGCGGAGAGAACGCCAATCCCTCCCGGTTTTTCAAACCCGTTCTCTTGCTCTAATGGGATGACTCTAATGGGGAGGGTCCCCGGAGCTGCCTGTCAGGGAGAACCCCGCAATGCCTCATTTCCCTTTCGACCTGCACTGGGCGGGCCCTGGTCCAGCCTGCATGGAGGTCCGTGAAGGCCAGCGCTGGGGAAGACGGGGTGTGCGGCGGAGCTTCACTGACCCCCACTTTCCTTGCTCATGAGGAGGGTCTGAGGGGTGGGGGAGGTGCCGGGAGCCCACAGGGGCACCGTGGCCGTCCCTCCCCCAAACCCACGTGTCCTGACTTGCCAGACGGTGCAGGCCTTAGACGACATGCTGCAAGCTCTTGTGATGGACGGGCTGGAGCCCAACATGGACATGCTGCAGAGGATACTGGAGGTGAGGGCTGGGGAGCCAGCGCAACGGCGCCCTGAGCCCCGGGTTTGTGGGAGAGCAGACAGGAACACCGGGGCGGTCTGGGTGTCCCTCTGGACCGGGTCTCAGACCTTCTTGCAATGGAGGCAAATTCCAGAGTGTCCAGGGCAGGATTCAAAGCTCCGGCAGCAAGGCTGCCCCGGACACCTGTGCAGCGGCCAGGGAGGGGGGACACTCTCCCAGAGGTTTGCCCCAAACAGGACCCAGGCTGCCTCCCCTGCCCGCCCCGTGACACCCCAACCTGCATTGACAACAATACCGATCTCACAGGGTTGTCACACAGAGTACTGGTCACCAGAAACATTCGCCCCCAGAAACCAGCGGCGTCTGACTGTCCAGAGAGCACCGGTCCTGGGCCTGGCCAGTCCGTGGCTAAGCCCCAAAGGGAACCCCTTCTCTGCCCCCCCGCCACCACTTTGCAGTTCATGCAGCATTGTCTTGAAATGTCCCTGTAGGTCAACCAGGTCATGCGTAGGTGAAGGGCCAGCTATGCTCAAACAGGCCTCGTTTCTCCAAGTGTAGGGTGCGATGTAGTCTGTCGCCTTCTTGGCTGTGGGCTCGTGACAAGGGGAAGGGGCTGGAGAAGGTGTCGACGACTCTCCTGTCTTCCAGACCCTCTTGCCTTGGTTAACGATGTCGGAGAAAGAGCAGGAGCAGACCAGGGCTGCGCGCACCATCAGCCACATGCTGAGGTTCATCTGCAATTTCCCCGAGGTGTTGGTGAGCGCTGGCCGGCTCTCTGCAGATGGGCACCGGGCTGAGCCTGGGGCTGGCAGGGCAGAGCTGAGGGTGGTCACCTCCTCTCCTCCTGTGGGGTGTTGCCCTTGGCCTAGTGAGCCCCACTTGACAGATGCATGTCAGCCTCCGTGGGGAACCTTGGCCAAGACCTGGTCTGCAGCTAATGGGTTTCAGGGGTCTGGCTGCCCCACTTCACTGGGGGCTGATTGGAAGGGTCCTCCTTGTTTGGAGCTGGCCAGATGATGGAATGAGG